CGCCCCGCCTCCCCCACGCCCTGCCTTCCCATCGCCCTGCCTCTCCCACACCTCACCTCCCATCGCCCCGCTTCCCTGGTGCCCCACCTCCTCCACACCCTGTTTACCCCACGCCCCGCCTCCCACACTGCCCCACCTGCCCCACTGCCCCACCTCCCTGTCGCCCCACCTCCTCCACACCCCACCTCCCCATCGCCCTGCCTCCCATTCTCCCCCCTCCCCAGCGTCCCACCTCCCTGTCGACCCGCCTCTCCTGTGCCCCACCTCCTCCTTGCACTGCCTCCCATCACCCCTTCACCCCTCCTCCCCCAAGCCCCGCCTACCCATTGACCCGCTTCCCTGGTGCCCTGCATCCCTGGTGCCCTGCTTCCCTGGTGCCCAGCTTCCCTGGTGCCCAGCTTCCCTGGCGCCCTACCTCCCCCATGCCCCGCCCTGGCTGCCACTACAGGCTCTTGAATCTAGTGCTGCAGGAGCTGCTCCTAGGAAGGGCACTACTGGGGTTCTCTGGGGGGTCTCCACCTGCCGCCTCCCCTCTGCAGGGGCCCAGGCCCTTGCACGTTGCCTACCTCTGGGCCCAGCGCCTCTTCAGCCCTGGTGCAAACTGCCCAGCCCAGGCCAGTGCTTATTGCGAGAATCACCTGGGGACAATCAGAGCGCATTTGATTCGCAGATTGAGTTAAATTTAGTGCTGGCAGCTGAGAGGCTGTTCCCTCTGTCCCACCCCGGAAAGGCTAGTGGGTCTGGTCCAGCCCCTACAGAAGGTGCCCCCCCCGGGATGGCGCGCAGGTGTGAAGGGGGACCCGCAGTGGCAGACACCTGGTTCCCCAGCACTGCCCACAGTCGCAGGTGGGCGTGGCAGGCTCTGTATGTGAAGCCAACCCCCTCATCCCACCCAGGCACCGCACAGCCTCCCTCAAGCCCCCAGGGCAGCATCATGACCTCTCAGACGCTCCAGGGTGAAAATATGACCCCTAAGACCTTCAGGGCACTGCTGTGGTCCCCCAGTGCCAGGGCTAAGGGCTGCTGGTCCTGATGGCGGCTGCCATGGGTCATTTTAGAGCCTGCACCTGTGCCCCTGGGCTCGACCGCCTTTCCAGGCCCTGAGCCATGCCCACACCCCAAGGTACCCTTGAAGGGCAGCCCGGTCACCCCAGCTCCCTGCCCATAGACCTCTGTGCCTTGGGGCCTGGACCTGCCTGCTCTGCTGGCTCATGGGGCTGGCCCTTCTGACACAGCGGCTCTCTGGGCCTCCTCCCAGGGTGGGGCCTGCATGAGTCACATGGCTCTTTTTGGCAGCAGCAGCCTTGGGCTCAGAGCTTGGTGCTGGTTGTGGACAGGGGATGCCCAGCCATCCACACTTCCTCCTGCCTGGGTGACATGTGGGGCTCGGCGGGCAGGGTCTGTGCTGGCATCATGCCCAGGTGGGGCCATGGGCTCTGCTGTCCTGGGGGAGCTGTGTGGCCCTGTCCTGGGCCTGCGCTCCTACTCTGTACCCCCTCCCCCGTGTTGACACCAGCTGGAGTCAGATCCAGACCCGTGCACTGCCGTCTCCGGGAGGCAGCCTTCCGTGAGATTGGGTTTGGAATGAGGGAGGCGTTGGGAGGAGGGCACCTTGGGGCTGGGCCTGAGGGGTGAGCAGAGTTTTTCTATAAGGAAGGGTGGGCAAATGTTTCTGACTGAGGGGCACGTGTACGGTGTCCATGCCGGGAGAGTAGGGCCTTTTGGGGCAGATGCGGGCTGCAGATGTGCTGGCCCTTGCCACACTTTCCCTGCTCTGAGCTCCTTCCCACCCTCTCTGCAGCCAGCCTACTCCTGTCTCACTGAACCCGAGTCTGGCAGAGGGAGGGGCTTGTTTTGAGAGCAGAGTCCAGACTCTCCTCCCCTGGGGTTACTCTCTGCTTATTTTTATTTATTTATTTCTTTTGTTGAGACAGAATCTTACTCTGTCACCCAGGCTGGAGTGCAATGGCGCGATCTTGGCTCACTGTAACTTCCACGTCCCGGGTTCCAGTGATTCTCCTGCTTCAGCCTCCCAAGTAGCTGGGATTACAGGCTCGCATCATCATGCCCAGCTAATGTTTGTATTTTTAGTAGAGACAGGAGTTCACCATGTTGGCCAGGCTGGTCTCAAACTCCTGACCTCAGGTGCTCCACCCACCTCAGCCTCCCAAAGTGCTGGGATTACAGGCATGAGTCACTGTGCCCGACACTCTCTGATTCTGATGACCCCTCAGTGCCAGGCGGAGGAGGCTGCCCATTATGTGCACTGAGGTACGAGCCCTTTTTCTTTCCCAGAATCCAGCATTCAGAGGTAGCTGTGGGTGGGTGGGCCGGCCAGGGGGAGCAGCTCCCATGGGTCCTGCAGCTCCCAGGCACCCCTAGAACCCAAGAGGCAAACACACTCTGGTCCAGAAGCTTGTTCATTAACTTGTTCACATGTGGTTCACTCAGGTACCCTCCCTGGCCTCCCAGCACCCCTCCACGCTGCTCTGCACCTGCAACCCTCTGTGCTCAATTTCCTAGTCGTTAGACACCCTCAGCCCCACCACCATAACCCTGGAGAGTCTCCCTTCCCTTGCTCTTCCAAGGGGGTCCCTCTTGTCCCCCACTTGTGAGGGCGACTGATCTCTGTCTAGCTCCTCTTGGCAGAGCTTCAGACGGTCCTTCAAGCTCCTCCTCCTGCCCATCTTCAATTTCCAGAGGCAGGGCCCAGGCACCATCCTCTCCAGAGACCTTTTCCCCACAACGGCACTCCTGTACCCACCTCTAGCTCAGTGCCCTCAGAGGGATTCAAGGCTTGGCTTTAACATCCCCCCATGGCCGTACTGGGTCCCCGTCTTGGAAAAATGCAAGAGCAAGGAATACATTGTTCCTATCATTTATTTTATTCATTTAGAAATCAATTTCCTTCACACTGAGATTGTTAAAACTGTTAAAAACAATGTAGCAATTTCACAATATTAAACGAGACTAAAAATAACGATGCAGGGATACTTTGCAGCTGTATGACAGTGAAGAAGCTCTTTACATCCTGATCAGAAAACAGGAAGCGGAGGAAGCGGAGGACCGAGTGTTCCGGCACACTGCTTTCTGCAGGAACAGGAGAAGGCAGGATCTGTGCCCGCTGCTGTGTGTTCATGTGGGGATTGCCCACTGGGCTCGCCTTCTGTCAAGGTCCACGTTTGGCCACTGATGTGCAGGGCCCTGTCTTCTGCTCAAACTGACCCCCGCCGGCCCTACCGCCCAGCAGAGGCCTGCGAATGAGAGGCCTGGGGCCCCGCAGTCCCTGGAAGGCAGGAAGCTGATGGCTGAGCTCAGGGTGGGATCTGTGTGTGGGCGGGTGAGCGGCAGGCATTCACCCACAGCGGCAGGGAGAGGGTGTGTGGAGGGAGAGCAGCTACCAGAGAAGCCAGACAGGTGCAGCCCAGGGCAGGCGGGAGCCCCTCCCAGGCTATAGCGTGGACCCCCAGCCTTGGGGGTGGCACCGGGCCTCCTGGCAGCCTCTGCACGTCAGGACCACACCACTGGGGTGTCCCGCTCGGACTCCTGGCAGGCAGAACTTACAGTGTCTTCCACAGCGGCCCCACCGGAGGGGCAGGGGAGAAGAGAGGAGGTTAGGTGGGGGAAGTAGGGAGAAGGGGAGGGAGGAGGCCACGGGAGGTGGTCTTGGGTGGGGCCTCCCTCTGCCCACAGGCGGTGATGGGCAGCTGACCACCTCCACAAAGTGTTGAGGTGGCTCTGGTTACTATGGGGACGCAGGGCCTCCCTGGCCACCGCGATGGCTTCTCATGGTCGATCCTTTGGATCTAACTGAATCTGGGGTGTGAGGTGGGTGAGGAGAGGCCCCAAGCTCGAGGGCCAGGATGCAGAGAGCCTCAGGGTGGGATGCCTATTTGTGCGGGGTTGCCTGGCAAGCCACCTGCTGGAAATGGCACCGAACCTCAGAGCCTCAGCCTTCCAGGGAGACACGGTGGGTCCCGGACAGCCACACTGCAGAGGCAGCCTGGGGGCCCAGGACAGGAGTGTGCACATCAGCCCCTTGTACCCCCAGCCTGGGAGAGATGCTGCCCCTGTGCCACAGGACACCCCCCCTGACTGCCCACAGCCGTCATCTGATGCCTGTTCTATTCTGGCTCACAACGACCTGGAGGGAATGGGGGTCTGGGAGTCAAAGCCTGGGCTGCTCCACTTGAGGCTTGAAAGCTCCTGTGTACTGCTCTGTCCTGCGTGCTTTAGGATGGGCCCCCGGAGGGGGAAGTAAGGAGCAGGGGTGAGGGCCCAGCAGGGGTGGCAGGATCATCTGAGCTCCTGTTTGTGAGTGGGCTTGGGTGGGGGGTGGATGGAAAGCCCTAGCCCCCAGCCTCACCCAGCCCCACCCAGCCCTCCAGGAATGGCAGTGGCCACCAGCAGCCCCCCGTTCCTCCCCACTGTCGGGCTCAGTCTAAGCCCCGTCCCCGACCTGCCCAGCCCCCGCCCCTCTTCTCCAGCCTGACTTATGAAGCTCTGTGTTTAGCCCCAGGACGCAGCCCTCATGTCCCAGCCAGAGTCTGTGGCTGCAGAAGCCCGGGCTGTAAGCCCTTCTTGAGCTCTCACAGCAGTGCGGGGTGGGATCTCACAAAGAGAGGTGCTGGGAGGCAAATCACACAGAGCGGGATGGGGCTTCCGCACCCCTGTGTCCTGGACACACTTCCTGTCATCTCTGTCCCCATGACACAGGCTTCACCTTCTCTGCTGCATCAGGCAGGGACCCCAACTGTGGGGAACTGCAATGGACTCTGGCTAGTTGGAGCAGAAGAGGAGTTTGTTGAAAGGTGCCTCGGAGCTCACAGGTTGAGAGGGAGGGCTTAGGTGCAGAAGACCCTGGCGCCACTCCTGTCCCGCCCCCTCCCCAGGGAAGTGGGCTGTGGTGGCCACCTTTACTGTAAGACTCCATGGATCAGACAACACCTGCTCATGGTGGGCTGCCCAGTGGCACGGCCCCTTGGAGCCCAGTGCTAGGCACATGCTCACCATCTGGGCCGCTAACCAGTCAGAGGCTGTTTTGTGGAAAGAGTCATGATGTGGGTCAAACAGTCCCATCAAAAGACATGTCCAAGCCCCAGGGACTATGTATTAGTCCGTTCTCATGGTGCTAATAAACACTTACCTGAGACTGGGTAATTTGTAAAGAAAAAGAGGTTTAATGGACTCACAGCTCCGCATGGCTGGGGAGGCCTCATAATCATGGTGGAAGGTGAACGAGGAGCAAAGACATGTCTTACATGGCGGCAGGCAAGAGGGTGTGTGCAGGGGAACTGCCCTCTGTAAAACCATCAGTTCTCCTGAGACTTATTCACTATCATGAGAATGGCATGGGAAAACCTGCCCCCATGCTTCAATTCCCTCCCACCGGGTCCCTCCCATGACACACGGGGATTATAGGGG